TTTTGTGGCAGCGGACAGTTCAACTACCTACTGCAATCGGTATACATTCAACTTTATCTCCAGGTGGAAAGCAACGTTCTGCTCACTGTATGCACTTTCTCCGCGTGTCGTCCGTTCGCCCCTCGCTCAGTGGCTTTACACACTCAAACAAACCCTCCACCCAAAACACAGCAGTAACGTGCCAGAGATATAGCCAGACAAGTATGACGCGGCAAAAGTCGATAGGGCTGAGATTGGGAGAACATGGTGGTTGAAAAAAAAGTCGGGTGCCGGCGCGCTTCGCTATTGACGCGTCACCGCGCCACCCACGTGACCGAGACGCGTCGCGCTTGTGGCGTTGATCTGGCCTTCGCTTCCGAGTCAAGAGCCTTTAAAGCCAAACTGCCAAAGCACACTCGAAATCCAGTAGCCGTTAGTCTAGGGTACTTGAAGCGAGATCTCTTTGACAACAAGTGTGGTTCTCGCATAAGAGTTGTGTCCTGATTTCTACCGTGGCAGTAGTAACTTTCGCAGCCCGACTTCTCGCCGAACATGAACCGTGTTCACCGGGAGCTTCGCAGCAGAGCAGACACACTTTGGCGCGTAGTCGCATCTTCCGGTCCTTGATACCAACATGTTGAGAGAGCTGCTGATATAATGGTCACCGTACTTTGCATGTCTGTTACTGAGCGATGACTGTCGCCCTCTAGGCGCGTGTTCCCCAGGAAGAGTGATCGATATCCAGCACACCGCAGCGGAACGGCGGCGATAGGATGGGCGGCGAGCGCGGGACTGACAGAATATCGGCAGGGTATTGAGACAAGCCGATGTCCTTCACACTTGTGAAGGTAAGCATCGAGGTTGACGTTGAGGGAGGATGGTGACGCACTCCACGAACTCCTTCATAACGCCGACGGTTAAGTGATGTGGGTGTAGGCTCTATATGAGGCTACACTGCAGCGTGCCCGATCGTTTCCCTCGATAGGAACCACAAGATCCATCCTGCAGCATGCCGTAGCCGTGAACCTCTCAACACGAGCTGTGCTCCCCGAGCATGAGCTACTGGGAAGACGAAGAACGTGCTGCGGGCACCTACGCGTGGGGTATGGATCGACATGGTCCGTGCCGACCTACCAAGACTCCTCGGCACGCATTCCAGGGAACAGCCCCTCGTTTTGGCCTCCTGTTCACGTTCGAAGTATATCGCGAGGATCAATACGTCCAAGTCCGTTCTCCGTTCTTCGTGTTCCCGTCTCACCACCAGACTCGGTGTCTATCTGGGGCATCGCCGGGAGAGATTAAAGACAGGATGGCACCGCAGTTGCGAGCAACTTGTACGCTTAAAGTACACAATCTATAAGAGCGTAAGAAATTGATGAGGTGAGTGGGAGCATGAGGAAAGGACCGAGCCATACGAGCAACACACCTGAACCATCTTGCGCGGTTACTGTGATGCTTGAAGGGCGCTATGGCTCTATGACGGCTGTCCATACAGGTACAAAAGCGAATTGTCTGTAAACTTTTCAGCTTGTTCATGAGCTGAATGAGCAGCACAGACGTCGACGCGGGGTTGCTTCCAGTGGCTACGTGGGCGTCTATTTGAGCATTCGTGCGCATGCTGGTACAGTGCCAATGTATGAGCTATCCCGACCTTGAACAAATGAGAAACATGCATGCACATCGGACAAACTGCGAAGTTGTCAACTTGAAGGTGGAAGAACCACATGACACGTGTATAGCCTCCGAGTCGTTTAATGGGCCATTGTGGCCCGCTTTGGTCCCAGCATTGTTCTTGGAGCACGGTCTAAGCGAAAAGAGGACTATAAGGACGCATCACCGGCGATGGAAGGGATCTTCACGTACCACCACATCCACATTCAGACTCTCGAGAAGGGACCATCCCGCCCATGGATAACACATTCGCTCGTCCGATGCCGGACGCTATCCCGTAAGCGATAACGTGGTACACCCACTGTACGACAATACTGATGTACCACCTCAGCGTTCAAAAAGTCTGGTTCGCGAGATATCTGCCACCGGAGACTCACGATATCTTTAAACCACCTCCCGAAGCGATCCACGACACCTTGCGCTTGATGGCCAAGGACTACACTGGCCTCGAGGGAGCAGGCTCCTCCCAGTCCACCTTCTACAACCTCGGAGATGGTCGGCTCGTGAAGACAGGCCACCGCACTTCCCTGGAAGAGGCATACGCGATGGTGTTCGTCCGCGCCCATACGACGATTCCGGTACCGAAGGTGTTCATGGTCTTCAAGTACGCGGGTCTAGTGCACATTGTCATGGAGCTTGTCCCGGGCACCGCCCTACGCGAAGCCGTGTACTACGACGCGGACGGAGCGCCCACGACGGGAGACGGAATGGTCACCAACGAGCAACTTCACGGCATCATGCTTCAGCTACGGAAGATTGTCGAAGAGCTTCGAGACCTCGGCCGCCGGTTCCCACCTACGCGACTTATGCTGGGTTCTCTGTCGGGAGGGAGGTACACCAACACGTACTTCCTGGAGCATCTGCCCTCGGCGCGCTTTGAGTCGATTGCGGACTTCCACGCGTATTGGCTGAAGCGGGTACATCCATACAAAAACATGGATGGAGATGCCTACGAGCACTTGAAGCGTTTAGCACGGGACAGCGCTCTATACCCATCAGAAGCCGGGGTCCCGAAACTCACTCACGGAGATCTCGCACCGCGGAACATCATAGTTCGGGATGGGAAAATTGTCGCCATCGTCGATTGGGAGACGTTCGGGTGGTATCCTGATTTCTGGGAGAACATGGGCATCCATAACGAGGTGATGCCTCAGAGGGTGCGCGACGCAATCGAGAGAGTATCTGGGAAGATGGCAGAAGTTACACGTACCTACATTATGGTCCTTTGTGCCCTGCGGAAGGGCTGACTGGCAATACATCCTGCAGTATCGTACTGATTACCACGACGGTCCAACGCTGATCTTCTCGTGGAATACCATCGATGACATGCGATTGAGAGCGATTTCAGAAGGTGAATAGGAGTACTTCTTTGTCACCTGCGGTAGTGAGCATCAGTCACAACAATGGTCAAGTACGAGTCACCAAGAGACCCACCTTTAGGTCCAAGCTGAGAAAGACAGTGCCCTAGACGGCTGCGGCATCAATACGAGTTTGGCAGCTATTACGCCGCATGAATGACCTGTTGTGGAACAAAGCGACGGCGGTAGTGAAGAACAATAGCGGCAAGAACGCTGCCTCGTGTGCATAGCCCATGCATCCGAGACATCAGAGTGTATAAATAATACATCTGGACCACCCGCAAGCGGCAAGCCAAACCACCGTCTGCAGTAGGCACCCATCCCATAAGAACTTCGCTCTCCTAACGACCTCTCAGATCCGTCCTCAGTTACAAGACGTACCTTGGTCAAGCTCAACATGCCCGTACCCCAATCAATCTACCAAAGCGAGGAACACGCCACCGTCTCCGAGCCCTGCAGCCACAAAGAGGTCTTTCTCCTCGTCTACCCGCCTCGAAACAACGACGCCACACGACACGACCTCCACTGGAGCCTCGCCTGGGAAGTCAGCGAGGGACACTGGAAGTACGTACAAGTCAACGTACGCAGAGAAGAGGACGACCATCCAGACGAGACGCCACAGCTTCAACGCTGCGCATACTGTGGCGCATGCACCAAGAGCGAGGACGGGACGGCGCTTGGGGCAAGGCTCTGTTCTCTCGGACGATTGAGTCACCAATCTCGGAGGAGAATAGAAGAGATTGCACGTTCCGTACCCGTCTGCCCGCCCGGAGGTCTTTGGAGTTGCCAACACTGGATATTGTGCGTGCTAGGACGGCTAGCAGACGATGGCATCATTTGCCAAAGAGTACTGGAGGATACCGTCGGCTGCGCGTACAACGGTAAGTCTCCGGCTTTACCCATACCGTACTTGCTGTTGCTGATACTTCACAGCCTGGAACGATGTCTTGCAGCTGTGACCGGGAGACATACAAATGGCAGACGGATGGTACACACGACCGTTCTCTCATGTTGTCATCGACGTCCACCCTCTCCTCAGCTTGCAGGAAAGCTCAACAACAATGGTCCTCGGGCGCTGCAATCATGACACATACTTTCATGTAGCAGCGTGCAATGTCATTTGTCCACATGTGAGAACATCGTATGATGGACAAGCCACATACGTGCTTGATTCTATGCGTGCACGGACCCACAATCGAGATACGGGGGAAGAGACGCACGGATGAGACGCGAGATGGAATAAACGCACCTCCTGGAAGGCTGGCTAGTCGCACCTCAACAGCTCCGGTTCCCTTTCATGTCCATAGTTCAGCCCTTCTGATCACCGCTTTTACTCGACAGCAAAAGCTCGTCCAGGAGCGCCGCCACCTTCTTCTGCGCATCTGTCTTCTCTGCCTGCACGCTCCGTAGTTCAGCGTCGCGCCTTTTCGCGATCTGCGCTTCGTCCGACAATAGTAGGAGGAGCTTCATCGAGTGTATAGTCGACATGAGCGAGTTGGCAGCGCGTATCTACCCGCAAGGAGGACATTACATGTGAGAGAACGGCCGAATGAACAAGCCACGAGCAGACGCACCATGGACTCCGCCCGACACTGCGCCTGGAACGCTTCCTGCGCGACGCGAAATTTATCCTTGTCGCCTATCTACTGCGTCTTTGAGTCAAAAGCGAGCAGAAGGATGTGTCTGGGGTACACACCGCTGCGAGCGCGACAATGTCCACCATGCCGTCTACGAGAGTCTCAATCTCGACGTCGACGCGCTTGTTCCATTCTTCCTCGATAGCGTCAAGGTACTCATCTGACTTCTGATCGATTGAGGGTTGAGTCTGCCGCTGCAGAAGCTTCGCGGTGGGTAGCGCAGAAGGGCGGGAGACGTCCGTCTGAGGAACGTCTGACATGGTGGTAAGTTCGAGTATAGCGAAGGCTGAGGCAATAAGTAGATGGAGGCGAGTGTCTCAACGGCTATATCATTGTTAGTTTAAGCATCCGCAAGTCCCGTTTAGCTCAGTTGGTAGAGCGCGTCACTAGTATGTCGCTCCGCAGCGCCATGCGATATGACGAGGTCAGTCGTTCGAGTCGGCTAATGGGAATCATTTTTTCAGCTTTGCCACGGAGGTTCTCCAATGGTCCACGTTATCCAAGAAATGCACATCGATTGAAGAGTATGCATAGATAGGGTATCAAAAGGGCATTACGTGAACATAGAGCAAGTAGAAGTGATCGCAGAGTAGACGCCTGTAACCTCACAGCTCCTCGTGCTTCGCGTTTGCCAGCGGTGGTACGCTCTTCATCAACTCCCTCATGTCTGCGTTCCTGAACAATATCTGCTGCGGCCATCGACCTTTCGCGACCTCCACAGCAAAGCGTCCCAAATCTTCTACGGGGGCGTAGAGCGACGGCATCAGCGCCCTCATCAGTGGGCCCATGGCCACGTCGGCCACACGGAGAAGAGCACTACGTTGGTTGAGGCGGTCTTCAGGATACTTGTTGGACGGAAAGAAGTACCCGGGACGGTAGATGTGCGCGGTCATGTTCGTCCCCTCGAAGAGTTCGGGTAACTCGCGCTCAACGCGGCCCTGCGACCAACCGTCAGTACACTCGAGTGACTATGATCCTACATTTGGACAACATACCTTGACGTTGGCCCACATTTGCCTCGACTTCCCCGTTGGATCGGCATGCTCCCCGCTGATGAAGACAAACCGGAACGGCTTCTCAGCGGAGCCTGCTCCCGCCTCCTTCAGCGCGCGCGCTGCAGAGAGCGTGTATTCGTAGGTGAGCTCCGTGTAGGCCTCTTCCGACATCCCAACGGCACTCCTGCCCAGTGCCCAGATGAGCGCATCGTGCTCAGCGAGACGGCGCGCGAGGTCGGGCGGGTACGTCTTGAAGTCCGTGTGAATGATGGTTTCTGTCTTGTCGTTCACACTAGGGGGTAGTTTGGCCCACGAGGGGACCGCGCGACGCGTCAGGAGCGTTACTTGCTGCACCGTGGGGTCTGATAGCGCCGCACGGTAGATGGCAAGGCCAGCTTCATAACACGGTGTCAGCGCAGCTGCTCGCTCGAGGATCGCTCTTCGCGCACGTACCAACGCCAGTGACTCCGGTTAGGATGATGCGCATGATGGATGGTGAAGCGAATGAGGGAGATGAAGTTAGTAACAGCAACAGTGGTTGACAGAACCTTTATACGGTTTCCCCCCTCTCTGATAGTCCGAGCGGAGAATGCATTGCGGATCGTGTCCTGGAAGCCTGACGCGTCGCGGCGGCGCGCGTTCTTGGGCGGCCATTCGGGCCTTCAGGCATCTGGGCGTTCTCTCGGACGCGTTCTCCTATCCGCAGTGGACTCGCGGCAAATGGCAATATGCGATGAGGGGTCTCAGCAAATTTCCCTGCATCGTTAGGGAGGTTTGTTCGGATCGAACCTCAATATTGTCCGCCGTCAACGGAAGAAGCACTACGCGGCTCGATGGCAGAGGCAGCACTGCCCGAGCTAAAGCTCCCTGCCCTGTGCATTCATGCTCCACGGCGCTGCGGACGTGATGTCTCTCAGTTCCTGAGTTAACGGACCAAAGCCCAAAGTCATCGCGTCAAACCGAGGTAGTCAGTGGGTAATGCCATGCGCAACTCATCTCCGACCGGAAATCGCGACCACTGGATGTGGAACTAAGCTGCAAGGTGTGCTTAACGCGGGCTCAGTGTTCGTTTGGTTGATGGCAATGCGTTTAAATTGACATGAAAGGCACCCTGAAGGTGCGGCAGAGAACACCACGATCTTAGTAGTCAAAGTAGTAATGACCATGATGAGCTTGCGCAAACACCATGCACGTGACCGTGTTGCTATCCCGCAAAATCCGGCATCGCGATATTACTTATAGGCACCTTGGTCGGCACATACGCATCAGAGGCCTCACATCGTCAAGACCGGACTAGACTTCATCATGCAGACTATAACTTGAGGAGTCGGTAGAGGGAGCGGAACCGCAGCCTTCACCCCCACCTGCTCGACTCCCCACCCGCAAGATCGGCAACACCGAGGTGACTGCCATTGGCTATGGTGCGATGAACATCGCTGCTGCCTATGGCGACGTTCTCAGCGACGAATAGCGACTCAAGGTTGGCCTCACCTCTGCCCCGTATATACACACAACCCCTAACCGAAGCTAATCAGCCTAGATAGTAGATACGGGTTTACGAGCTTAGCGTGTACCAACTGGGACACCGCCGACATCTATCTCGACAGCGAGGATCTCCTTGGCAAGTGGTGAGCCTAGTATACGCTACTCTTCAACCGCTCGCTGATTTCATAGCGGCGGTTCAAGAAAGCGGGGAAGAGGGACGAGATTTTCTTTGCAACGAAGTTTGGTTTCAACACCGGGCAGGGCAAGCCTGTTATCGGAGATCCCGACTACGTTCCCAAGGCCTTGGAGAAGTCATTGAGTCGACTTGGGACTGATTATATCGACCTCCACACAGGTATGCATGATCACCCTGTTCTCTTGCGTCATACACAAACATTTCCGGTCGACAGAGCTGATCTTGAAGTTCCAATTGAGGTGCGGGACCTCAATGAAAGGGACATTGTGTGACAACACTGACATGCTCGGTAGCTCACTGTCCGCGCCATGACGAAACTCGTCAAGTGAGACTATCTCGGCAAGTGCTGAGGCATACGTATTGACGCATGTCCTCCACAGGTAGGGTAAAGTTAAGTACCTTGGTCTCTCCGAGGTGTCTGCAGCGATTCTGCGGCGTGCACATGCTGCACGTTCCATCGCTGCTGTAGAAGTGGAGCACCCTTCACGATCGACATCGAGGACGAGAAAATCGGTCTACTCCAGACGGCTCGCGAGCTCGGCGTCGCAGTCGTTGCGTATGCTCCACTCGGACGGGGTTCTCTCGTGGGCAAATATGTGAGCAAACCATTCTCATGGTGGAATTGTTCCTGCTCGTCACTAACCCTCGTACTATGCAGAGGAGCCCGGACGACCTCCCGCCGAACGACTGGCGGCGCACCGTCCCTCGCTACTCCGCCGAGAACTTCCAGAACATCCTGAAGTTGCGCGATGGCCTCGCCGCCCTCGGCAAGAAGTATAATCGAACCGCATAGGTGAAACTTGGAGGCCTGCAGATCGTCTCACTAGACGGAATCCTGCCAACACAGCAGTAGGATGAATACTACCTGTGGGCTTGCCGGTCCTACACGTAAGTGCTGCATGCATATTCCGTGGTCGGCGAGGGCCCTCCGATTGAAGAAGAAGACGTTGCAGGTCAGCTCGATTCCGGCCATCCTGGTTCGTGATGTTACGCCGTGTTCGCAGCGATGGCCATGGCCGAGTGTGACCGGGCTATGGCACGAAGACCTGAGAATGTGTGAGCAAGCAGACCCAAAACCAAAGCATACCATCTGAATAAGTTGACATCGTGAGAGTTGGGGGAGGAAGTTGATTGATGTGTGTGCACCGCCCGACTCAGAGTTGCGACGAACTACTCATATACTCGCCACTGAATTGGTTCCTAGACCAGAGGCAAGCCGCAAGTATTGTACGAAGGAAAAGGAACTGAGCTTCTTTAAGCTCGAGCATGGAGGCATCATTGGAGAATAACTTGAACACCACTAGTAGGCTCAGTCACTGGCAAGTCGGACAACCTGGGCCGTTCAACGTTCATCCTCAGTGACGCGATGATGTGACACCACGTGGCCTCCTGTCACCAGGCTGCCAAACGCCGCGACGTGACGAAGTCACTTCGTTCAGGGCCTGTGCAGCTGCGCGTCGACGTCGACGCGACGCCGACTCGACACCCCTAAGCGCGCGTGTACTTACTTGATATAGTGACCGTCGACTCCGAGATGTCCGGACGTGACTTTGGGCGTCTCACGCCGTCACTCCTTCTGGGCCTGGGTTTTCGTCAACTTGCCGTGCTATCCTAGAGCAGCCTTGGTCGCGGAAACTGTGTTAGCAAGCACAATATCTAGGTAGGTTTCTTCTAGCAGTCATATTCAGAGCCATATAGGTGAAAGAACAAGGTGCATTCCCACGTTCCTTTTGGCCGATAAGTATACTTCAGAAATATGTTACGGGCCCGGGTTTCACTAGTTCAGATAAGCGACGTTTTGGGAACTGGACATGTCTAGTTCAGGCATGTCTAAATACTCCATAAGCTATTTATGCCAAGGGTAAGGGTATTACCGGCAAACCTTTAGATACCACTATCGTGTGAGTCACTGAGTCACTAATTGTCACGCATCAGTCACTGCCGGCAGTCTCCTGGCGCGCGCTTAGGAGTGTCGATTCGGCGTCGCGTCGACGTCGACGCGCAGCTGCACAAGCCCTCATACTCTTCTGGCCTTGCCTTGCTTTTCTTCTAGATCTACTCGGAACGGGAGAGCATTCATTCCTATATTCCTGGTTCAAGATCACAACACAACGCCATTCCAAGGTAAAAGGCGCGGCGGAGTGCGAAGAACTGAGGCAGTACGTGTCGTCTGCAGGCTACCACGATCAATTTACAGATCCCCAGCAGAGATGACGAGACGTCGAAATGGCTGTGCGCTCCCCACTGGAATGTAAATCATTGCGCGGATCACATTTGATGAGTAAGTACATCGAGAAGCAGTATTGTCGACTTCGTCCGCAGGGCCTTTGCTTCAGTGACCTGTGCATTCTAGGGGAACACAGACTTGGTATGTTGGTCTCTTAGGCAACCGTCATGAAAGAAAAGACAGCTCAATTGATTGATGGCTCTACTTCCTCCTATGGCCCCAGGAAGCCTCAGTATCCGTATGCGACGCTCCCTCGCATTCCCGGAGCTCTTCTGTCTAGACGTGATCAGGTCAGATGTAATCGGAGCCCATGATGGATGCGAAGAGTCGTACCTGATCGACCATCGAGGATTAACCGTATCATCGTGTTCTGTGAGTGCGAGTACAAGAACTGGTTTTGCCACTGTGGGTTGCAACGCAATCGCCCCTCTATACCCTCGTAAGGCCGGTCCTTCGACCCAGACATGTCCTCCGGCGCAGACGGCAGTGCTGCTGCAATTGCGGCCCTCATATTCAGCAATCTGTACGTTGCAGACGTTGAGGCCGCTC